TTCGTCAAGTCAATGTTGCCTTTTGATTTTATGCAGTTTTTGGCAGTGGATTCGGTGGGAAGTGCAGGGGATTTGTGTAGACACCCTATTTTTGACCGTCCTTAAAACTTGGGCACGTTAGGTTGATCACTCGATGATGAAAGTTATGCTATATAAATGTTTGATTTCTTTAGCAAGAAGAGCTTCTCAATCCCAACCTTACACCCTTTTTTTCAAAATATTTTTTTTAAATGCTTATACAATGTTCCGAGGCTCGTATTTTATTTAAAACATTGCAATTTTCGGTAAATCGAGTAAGGACAAAGTGGAAATAAATAGAAGGGAGGTGAACTCTTTGAAAATATTTAAAACCTCTTATTTATAGGTTTGGAGTTGAAGAAAATTAGAGGGGATGAAAGCAAACTAGTTGGGGAAATGGCTAAGCATGAAACCATTAAGAGAGAACTGAGCAACCTTCACTAAAATAGACATATCTTTTTATACACTTAGGTTTTAGTTATGAGGATACCACCATTGGAAAGTGGACTTTCGGGGCTTCAATTGAGACTCAAGAATCTCCTAAAGCCGAGTCCGGATGAGGGAGATATGGCCATTTGAAGTTAGGCATCAATCCGGTTAAGAAAGAAATGAACATCTTTCACTAAAATAGGCATATCTCTTTGCATACTTAGAATTTAGATGTGAAGCCACACCATTGGAAATTAGACTTCCAGGGCTTCAGTTAAGACTCAAGAATGACCTAACATCGAGTTTAGATGAAGGAGATATGTCTATTTAAATTCCGACCTGGAAGTAGATTTTTGTGGCCGGCTGCCCACTATTAGTGGCCTGCCGGCCACTTGTGTAAAACGCAGATATTTGTTGCTAGCTGTCCCCCAAAAGCTCTAGTTGTTGCTATATAGATATTTCCGAACCAAGAGGCTGTTTTTCTATATATACAAGTCCAACCCTCATGTTTTTAGGTTACAAAAAATTCCTTAAGGATCCAAACTTGAAATTCTCTTTCTATCTCTATCTTGCAACACACATACCTTATCCAAACACTTCCTAAACCAATATTAGAGCTCTCCTTGTTAAGATTATTGAGTCCAAATTTTAGCCATTGAGAGTGAGAACTTGTGGGTTTGTTAACAAAATAGTTGCCTTACTTCAAGAGGTATAATTTTGAGCATCTTTACACTACTTGTTTTCTCTCTTTTCTTGCTGATTTTGAACTATTTTTACACTATTTTTATGGGCTGAAACTTGTGGTTTAAAGCTACCAAAGGTGGAGGGGTTAACCACCCTTCTTTGAACCTTATTCTCTAAGCTTTTGCCCTTGTGTTTCCCATTTTTTTCTCAACTTTTTTGAGCTCTGTACCATCGAATTTCAGAGTTTTTTGGAGGCTAAAAATGTTGTTTTGAAGTCCCAAAAATGAAGGGGTTAGCCACCCCTCCTTATGCTTGTTTGCTAGCTTAATTGCTCCATTATTTTAGCTTACTTTTTAGATGTTTTTACCTTAATTCCAGCACTGTTTTGAGCTATTTTAGGACTGTTTTTATGTGTTGATTTCATTTATGCTTTGTATTGCATAATTGTAGTGTAATGGTCCTCATAGGTTTGGTGTTTTAGGCATTAGACACCAACCTATTTGAGTCGATAGCATTTATTTCAAGCTTTCCATACTTATGTTCACCTTTAAGCATCTCTGCAACCTCCCTCATTTCTTGGCTTTTCCTTTACTTTGAAAGTTATTTCAAATCAATTGCTTGTTTAAGTTTGAGATAGAGGTATTGTGCTTAACAATTTAATCCCTTTAGGGGTTCATTACCAATGGCATGACATCTCTCTCATGCCCAAAACAACCCTTTGTTTGATACTTCTTTCCATTAGTGCGCTTAATGCTCATTTTGGACTAAAATGACTAATGGATGGAAGGTAACTAAAAAAGGTAATCAATGGCTTAAAAGAGGTAACAAGATAATAAAATAGTTTGGGGTTCAATCAGACGTTAATTGAACCCATTGAGTCTTGAGTCATTTCATACTTGTTAGTGATGAAAACGGTTCAAGAGTCGATGTCAACCACTTCCCTTGATCAATATCATGATAGGGAGGAGGTTCATGAGTCTTTCATTGTGCATTTATTGAAATTGTATCCCTTGATTCATAAATTAGCACGCAATGAATTTGCGCCGATTGATGGCTTGTGAATCGGGTCTACCACTCATTTGAGCTATTCGATGATAATGAGGGGTAGGGGGGACCAACATTCCTTGAGAATGCTCTGTTGTGCTCTGTTTGTTCTCTGTTGCAGCAGGAGAAATTCAACATCAACGGCCAGCAGACCATTTTTACTAGACGGCAGGCCACTACTTCTGGGTTATCGGCCACTTTTTCTAGCCAGGCAATGTCCCTTTCCAGCAGAGCAGAGACTGAGGTGGAAAAATAGTGCAATTTTCTAACTGTGCAACAAAGGCATTCCGATTTTCGAGTGGAAATCCATCTCCATGCATGAATCGTCCCTCGATTCTCGAGTCCACAAAAGAGGGTGTGACTTGAACTCTAGTCCACAATTTGATAAATAATGGTCTTACCATTTGAGTTGCTTACAATATATTTAAACATTTTGTATATTATTTATTTATTTGACCTACACATGCTTTAGGTGTACCCAACCACTAGTATTAAATAAAATATACACAAAACCCTACCTTCTTATTTGTTCTTCGTAGCAGCCGTGAGAGAGAGAGAGAGAGAGAGAGAGAGAGAGAGAGAGAGAGAGAGAGAGAGAGATGAGAGATTTGAGAGAAATTTTTGGCAACATTGGTGATCAACTACTCTAAGGTATTGTCCTATTTTATTATATCTATATATTGTGATGGTTCATATGTGTAATCTTCTTGTTGTTGGGAAAGAATAGGAGAAATGAGTGTGTTGTTTGGGTGCCAAGTCAGTAATTGGTGATGAGAAATAATGAGTGTAATTTTTAATCCAAAAAATTCTGTATAGAACCACAAACTTTAAAAATCAAGAAACCTTATCAAACGGATGAATTTTGAACTGAATTTTTTCCAGTAGATTAATTACATATTGAATTGCATATTAGAATTTTCTCATAATTTTTGGGAGTCAAAATCTATATTAACTGGTGCATTCAAATCTTTCCAGAAAACTAGTGTTAAATAGTAATTTCGGAAGTGTTGTTCTCTTTGGGTATAAATCTGAAAATTATCAAATCAGCGTCATTAGAATCGGTTATGAGTCTAGTTTCTTACATTTTTTACCTTACGTTGATTGCTTGTGTATACTAACAGAACCGTCAATTTCTTTAAAGTGCTGCAGAAAACAACCTGTTTGGATATAATTAATTGTAAATAATTATTTTCATAAGAAAATCAAGTGAAACCAATGAGGTTTGAAACTTAGGATATATTAGATGATATCTGGAGGGTTTTGGAATTTTTCGAACAGCGTGGAGTGGGTTTTGTAATTTTCAAAGCTAGCAAATAAATTGGGAAAGTTTGTTTAAAATTGTGTTTTATCTTAAAGTTACTTTTAGTTAAGTTTCGATCGAAACCCATGTCTTGGGTAATTTTATACCTTGAAGAACATGAACTTAGGTATTATTTAAGAGTAATAGTGAGTGGGGTTGAGTTGCGTTAGTGCGCTTTAGTGTGGGGTACTTAGTTTATTATTCTCTTTAGTATTTTTAAATTAGTAGCGACGTGTAGTCTTCATACTTGGTTCAAGGCACTAGTTGGACTTTCATATTCTATTCGAGGATTATACTATTTCGTTTTCAGGTGAGTAGTTGCATGCTACATATTTTTATAAATGTTCTCCTACCCTGAACCGTTGGAAAATTAAATTGTTATTTCAGGATTAAACTGTTTTGATAAATCATTATATAATCAATGGAACTATATTATTTCTGAAACATGTGTAAACTCGGCATATTGTAAACTATTTGTTATGGTCTCATATTTATAATGGTGAACTACCATGTTTTGCGAAACTGATATGTATTGATTATTGGGACCATCTGTGTATTTTAGTCCAAGGAAATTATTCCACTGTGTGTGGTGACTCTGGCCACTAGAGAAAAGATCCGGGTTGGGCCGTGATGACTCTAGTACTCAACGATTGTAAGAAAAAGACCTGGGTTGAGCTAGGTGACCTTTAATCGGATCGTTTTAGAGAAAATGCCCAGATTGCCACCTCGAGGATGACTCTTGATTCGATATTGGATCCGATGAGCTTATAGCCTTGAGAACTGTGTGGCATGTTACTTGTTATTCTTGGTACCCAGAAAATTATTAGTGTTCATGTTGTAATCTGTTTTAAGTGAAAAATGTCATTTATCATGTTCTTGATAGACATGAGTATTTTAACTGTTGAACTGTGAAACCTTCTTTTTTAAACAGATTATCTTTATCAAAAGTGTATGCCAATCTAGTTTCTGTGATATATATCTTATTTTGGAATTGATTCATGTTTTCAAAACTATATATACTATCTATGTTGCTACTCACTGAGCTATCAGCTGACTTAATGGTTTATCATTTCCAGGTGTTAGAAGGACTTAGAGTGGACTCATGACATAGTGGAGACTCAATTGCATGGACCTCTAGGACATTCATTTATTTTGTTTTAGATTGTTATGTCAAGTTTGTGCATATTTTTTTTTTATTGGGGTTCATTTAGGATTATTTTGATTTGTGGGTTGTTTATATCTCATAAGTTTGGATGGTATTGATTACGGTTGGTTTTGCCGTTTATAATTGCGGCATGTCACTAGATTGAGTTTTGGCTATTCATTACTGGACTATTATATAGTTATTCAATGTGTTTATGGATTCATGCTTAGGTTTACGTGTGCCTTGGGCTAAGGCCCTGTGGGCCATGGCCGGTCATACTCGGGTTTTGGGTGTGACAATAAAGCTCCAGGGCCTGATGGATTCAATCTTTACTATATTCAGAAGAATTAGAAGGTGAATAGAGGTGAGATCCTCTAGTTCATGCATGAATTCCACATCAATGGTAAGTTGGTTAAAGGGATTAATAGTTCATTTATAACATTGATTCCTAAGAAGGACAGTCCAACAGATTTGGTGGATTACAGGCCAATTAGTTTGGTGGGTTCAGTTTACAAAATTCTAGCTAAAGTTCTATCTAAGAGAATGAATAAAGTATTGCCTAGGTTGGTTAGTGAGGTTCAGACAACATTTATTGGAGGAAGGTGTACTCCAGATGGAGTTTTGATTGCCAATGAGGTCATTGAGTGGTGGAAATCAACAAAGCAAAAAGGGGTGATACTTAAACTTGACTTCAAGAAGGCGTATGACTCGGTGAATTAAGAGTTCTTGTTTTTTTTTTTTTTTTTTTTTGATCGGCAAAGAAAAATTTCATTAACGGCATGAAATTAAAGGTACAGGAAGATGACATGCATCGAGAGAGATTCGGAAAGTACAAAATACCCCTACTACTGCTACTCGCAACCATACAACCAACCCCTAGGCCTCACAAATTTTTTTTTAAACAAAAAAGTTAAGAAGAACTTAACTGAAAAATAGAATACCTCAATCCCCACAAAATTACCCACAAAATCCAAAACCAAAGCTGCTACACACCCAACGCCTACTGCTAATTTAAAACTAAAACTATACCGCCCACTAGCTATATTTTGAAACTAAAATAATCACCTATATTGCTTCAACTCCCAACACCTATGCTGCTTCATATCTATACCGCCCACCTGCTGCACACCCACGCCTGACAACTCCCAAAGCCCAACGCGCCACCTGCTACTACTGTTAAATCTGTACACCACGCTCCTCTACACCTCCCAACTCCCACCTGCTAAATCTTTTCACCACGCTTCACTGGCCGGAAAAATCCATAGCCAACATCACCACGGCTTGAAGAACTTCCATGCCTGACATCTCCAAGCTGCTATACTACTGCTATATCATTACCACCCACGCTGCTATACTCCACATGTTGCTTCACTTCCACTGCCCAGCGAAGGCCCACGCCGGACAACACACTGCCAACACCCAACTGCACCCACGGACAACACCCAAGGCCACACCTCTCCGACGCGGTGGTTCAAAACTCTGAACACACCCAAGGCCGATCAACACTCAAGACAACAAGACCCACTGCAGGTACTACTCCACCGTCCCTATATTGACGACCCAACGCCGAACTCCTCTTATTCAAAACAACCGCTGAGATACAACCACACATCTGGACGGCGTTCACCCCTCAAACTCCCATACGCATAGAAGCGCTCGAATGAAATCTTATACAGATCCGGATCATCTTCGACACTAATGCTTCCCCCGACCACAACACCGAAACACCTCCATAGATCTGAGCGGACAACACCCCTCAAACTTCCACGCGCAAAGAAGCGCCCGAATGAACATCCTAACCAGATCTGGATCGTCCTCTTTGCCGACCCAGTGAACAACCAAAACGTCACCAAAACACCCAAAAAACCAAGCAAGAACAATGGCAGCCCGCGCAGCACCGGTGGGAAAATAATGGGGGATTCAAGTTCATTAAACAGAAAACTAACAAACAAAAACACTAAAAGAACTGGGCCAGCCGACCTCCATAGCCAAAGGCGGCGGCCGGCCGGCCCCAAAATGAGGCTAGGGAAGGAGGTTTTTAGAGAGAGAAAGCGGGGAGGTTTTTCAAAGTTTTCGGAGAACAATGGCTAAGGTGGATCAAGGAATGTTTATCCTCATCTAGAATATCAGTTTTGGTGAATAGGTCACCCACTGAAGAGTTTTCACCACAAAGAGGGTTAAGGCAAGGTGATCCACTCTCATCTTTCTTATTTAATCTTGTGGTTGAGGGATTAAATTTGCTGCTAAATAGAGCTAACATGTTGAGGTTGGTTAAAGAAGCCTCGGTGGGGTCTAATGGCATGAGTATCTCATATTTTGCAGTTTCTGGACGACACAATAATTTTCTGCGAGGCAGATAGAAACGAGCTGCTATTGATCCAAAGGATATTAAGGTGCTTCGAAGTGATGTCTGGCTTAAAAATAAACTTTCACAAAAGTGTAGTGTGTGAAGTGAGCATCTCTGATAGTGAGGTGAAAGCTTTTACAGGTGAGTCAAATTGTCAAAGTAAGAAGCTGCCTTTAATGTATCTGGGCTTACCTTTAGGAGCCAATCCTACGAGGAAGTCCACATGGCAGCCTGTGGTTGATAAAGTAAGGAAGAGGTTGTCTCTTTGGAAGAGGAAGGTGTTGTGTTTTGTAGGAAGACTAACTTTGATTAAGTCGGTTGTGGCTTGTTTACCATCATATTATATATTTATATTTAAGATGCCTAAGGGTATAGTGAAGACAATTGACAAATTACAGGCTATGTTTTTTTGGGGAAACAGTGATGTTAGGAGGAAAGTACATTTGGTGAGATGGCAAGAGCTGACTAAGCCTAAAAATCAATGAGGGTTAGGGGTTAGAAGTATCAGTGAAATGAATGTTTGTTTATTACTAAATGGTGGTGGAGATATGGTGTTGAAGACAAAGCCTTGTAGAGGGCTGTAACCTGCAACAAATATGAGAGATATGGTGGTGGGTGGTGGCCTTATGTTGGTGAGGCAGGCAATTTGTCTCTAGTTTGGCGAGGTATTCTAAGTATTGCGTAGGATAACCCTTAAGTGCTTGACTTGTATTTGGAAAATGCAAATATAAAAGTTGGGAATTGAGAAAGAATTCACTTCTGGACTGATATGTGGTGGAATGGTTGTGGGCTCAGTGAGGAGTTTCCAAGATTGTTTAATTTATCTATGGAAAAGGAAGGCTCTTTGATGCAATACAATCTGAGTTGAGAGACGACGAGGGAATGAAATTTGGTATTTAGAAGAGGGCTGGGAGCATGGGAAGAATTAGAGATTAACAGGTTATGCGAGTGCTTGAATGCAGTACCTATAATCAGGGGGAATCTGGATGACTATTTGAGGTGGGAGCTTGATCCATCAGGTTAGTTTTTAGTGCAATCATTCTAGAAATGGTTCCAAGGAGCTAAGGGACCAAAGTTGCATGTAACGAAAGAGCTGTGGCAAAATGTAGCCTCTCTCAAAATCTAATTCTTTGGCTGGTTAGTGTGGAGGAGAATGGTGAAAACTTCAGATTTTCTGCAGAGAATAAGGGTGTTGGGTGCAAATGCTAGTACACAGTGTGTCTTCTGTAAAAAGGAAATTGAAAGTGTAAACCATGTTCTATTACATTACCTACTGATTTGGAGAGTTTGGCCTAGAATTATAAGTTGGCGGGATCTGTGGTGGGTAATCCTTAGGTTTGTTGAGGCTTTGTTACATTGGTGGGTAGGGGCTTCGATTAAGAAAAAAGAGGTGAATGTGTGGAAAATTGTGCTACTAGTATTATTTTGGTCGATTTGGAAGTTGAGGAATGATATATTATTTAATGGTGGACATCCTAATTTTGCTGATTTGGAGGACATTGTGAAGACAAGGATAGCGTTTTGGGCTAAGAGTAGTTTATCAGGTGTGCAGTACACAGTGCATGATTTTGTTCATAATCTTCAACGGGTCAGACATTTTTAAGGTGAAAGGTGCAAGACTTTGTTATTACTGTGGCACTGTAGTGGCCTTTTATTGGGAAGCCCTGTGTTGGTTTTTTTGTTATCAAGCCCTATTGCTGCTGTGTGTGTAGTCCTGCTTCTGTTGTTGCTGGTTTTTGCTGTCATGTGCAGTAGCAGTATGCTGTTGTTGTTGTGTGCTAGGTGCATTTTTCAGTTTGTTTAGTGGCTTTGTTCTGGTTGGTGACTTATTAACCTAGGTTTTGTGCTAGCACCTGATTGAGCTCGTGTGTGAGTGCCAACCTAGTTGGGATTAACACATTGGATATGATGCTTGCACACTAACCCCTCTCTTTATTGATGTATCACCTTGTATTACTTTGTGATTATCAATAAAATTTTTTGCTGATTGAAAAAAAAAAAAAGTAGAGAGAAAAGAGAATCTTTGACTTTTTGGTATAGGTTGTTGGTTTTTTGATTTTTTTAGTGACTTTTTAACTTTTTGGCTAAAACCATCACTTGCCAAATGAGGCCTTAGGCTATCAATTTCATATTCATAACAGAAATCATAATAAATAATTTCCAAATCAAACAGATATGCACAAATTAAGCACAAGACCACAATTGATGCTTAACACATAATTAAATAAACATAATCATGATATGAATGTTGGGATTATTACAAAAATAGAGGAGAAAATAGGTCACCCTTGAACAACCCCTTGAGCAATTTTTTTTATTCTCTTTCTAACTTCTCTTACAAGCTTTGTATATGTAATTATATCAACCCAAGTACAACAAAATATGACAAATTTCCTTTACATAAATTAACTCTAATTAACAAAACCTAACCCAAAACATAACTAGAGTTAACTAAACATAAATGATTGTTTGGATACAAAATCAAAGAAGTACATTACATCAACAGTTCCCAGCCTATCTCTTTTCAACTTGCACAAAGAAAGAGAGAGAGAAAGAGAGAAAGTAAGATGGAGAGAGAGAGGTTAAACATTTCAACCATGAACATCCATTGACCCTCAAGAAAAAGAAGAACAATGATGGTGAAGAAATTGTTTGCATCGCATGTTGTGAAAAGATCGGAGATTCTGCATATAGTTGCAGCAATTGTTCTTTCTTTTTGCACACATTTTGTTTAGGATCACCCGAAGAGATAGAGTTCCTACATTACCACGAGCATCCACTCATTCCATTGAGATTGATGACCCTCTTCAGTAAAGAAAAGAACAACGAAGATGAGGAGGAGGAGGAAATTTTTTGAAGGCATGTTGTCAAAAAATCTTAGGTTGTGCATATGGATGCACATATTGTTCATACTTTTTGCACAAATCATACGCTAAACTACCCACAAAGATGACACATCCATTGCACCCACAACACCCACTTGAATTCTTTTATCTAATATTTTACAGATGTTGTGCAAAAAAAAAAAAAAAAAAACCCTAAAGGCTTAAGGAGAGGTTATGCTGTGATAAACACCGCGTGTATCATATGTTAAAATATGGATTATTATGGTACGATGGTGCTACATGCACCAATTAGTATACTAATTAGTGTACCAACACTAGTTATGATATTATTATTGACCCCACTCATTAATCACATTACAAATATCAAAAATCACTTAAATCATGCTACATCATCAATTGGTAAATTAATTAGTATACTAATTGGTGCATATAACATTATTCATTACGATAATAGGGCTAGCAATTAATGTTGATTAAGACTATTGTGGTGTTTGACATTGGTGGGCCCACAAAAGTTTTGGCCCACAGACTTAGAGCCCAATTCACGGTTCAAGTACTAAAGTCCAGCACCCTTGAGAACCCAATGTTGAACCAAGAACCAATGGCATCTAAACACTTGTCAAGCAAGAAACCAGCCATGTATGCAAACAAAGATCTGCAAAGTTATTGCACCCATGTATCAGCTATTAATGAGACCCTGGTAGCATTAAATGCGACAGCTCTTTCACGTCGAAGAAAACAGGCTCACCATGAATGAGGTTAGCTAAACTTTAGACTTACGGCCAACGAGACGGCTGGGAAGGAACAAGGAAATGATGAATGAAAAAGATAAAAGGTTTCAAAAGAACGACTAGGTTAAGTTTTCTCTCAGACCCCTCGTACATTATCTCTCTAAAAAACCTCCTTACCTTGAATTAACTTGATCGTCAGAGTGTCCGTCGAGGGACTTCCCCTTATTGGACTGTTTTTGCAGGTGTATTCTGCAAACTATAAGCCCAACAGACCCATCTGAAGTGTGGATCAATCTGGCTCATCTATCCTCCAAGTTTACACCATCATCAGTTGGCGCCGTCTGTGGGAACCACAACTCCAGTTGACAGTTGTGCTCATTGTTGCCGAAGACCCATTCCCAATTACTTCTCCTTCCCTCCCGTCGAGGTGGATGGTTACAACGAGATCCATAGCTTCTCAATACAATGTCGTCGACCTCAAGTAGAGCCTTCTAACCCAAACAACCCACCATAGTACTTCACGAAGCTCGCCAACAGCATCAACCGCTTGACCGAGCAAAACCAGGCCTTGATCAACGCTTTACTCTAGCGAAATCTCCCTATCCCCCCTCCACCACCACAAGACATCCCTCCCAATCGAGAACAGACCCCGAGCCATCCTTTACAGCAAGCCCACCTTTCTAACCCAGAGGGTCTACGGGCAACACCTCAAGACCTACACCCACCACCTTAAGGCTTACATCTATCAAATCACGTACCTGTCCCTGAAGGAGAGGCCAGTAGTGTTCAGCCCCCGCTACACTCTGGAGGGGACAACGTTCCTATGTGGGATGCGGAACTACGAGCTATGAAACTCCAGCTCCAAGAGGTCATGCAGAACATACAGAGTAAACCTTCCACGACAGCCAACTCTCCATTTGTCGCCTTCATCAGAGACAAACCCCTACCCTCCAAGTTTAAGATGCCATCGATCGACACCTTCGATGGCACAACCGACCCTGTCGACCATTTGGAGGCCTACAAGACTCTCATGATCTTTCATACTTTTCCTGACGAAATCATGTGTCGAGCTTTCCCCCTGACTCTCAAGAGGTCAGCACAACTATAGTTCAGTCAACTACCCCCAAACTTTGTCACTAGTTTCTAACAGCTAAGTGACTTCTTCTTGACCCACTTCATTGGTGCTCAGTGCCAGAGACGTCCGACGACTTAACTGCTCAATATCCGGCAAACAGAAGGAGAGTTACTGCACAGCTTTGTCACCCGTTTCAATACCGAAGCCCTACAGGTGGAGAAAAATGACGACAAGGTCATCCTCACGGCCTTCATAGCCGGTTTATGCCCATCAGATTTCCTTTTCTTTCTTTCCCAAAACCCCCCGACTGCCATGGCCACCTTCCTTTCCAAAGCCCAAAAATATATGAATACCAAAGACTCTTTGTCACCCTGCCAAGATTTCACTTCCAAAAACCCACCCCACAAGGACAAAAAAAAAAGAACTCGAACCCAGATCCTCAAAATATCTACATCAACCCCCTCAGTATACTGACCGACCCGCCTGTGCAGACCAACCGGCACTTACCCGACCACCCGGTTTGTTCGAATGATAAACCCCTCTTAATTTACCCATGGAGCACGTCTTGAACCAAATCCAACGAGACTACAACCTAAAATGGCCTCCACCATCATGATCTCCCTCAAACCGGCGAGATCAATCCAAGTACTATCGTTTCCATCAAGACCATGGCCACAACACTGAGGAATGTGTCAACCTTAAAGACCAAGTGGAGAATCTGATACGACAGGGGGCGTCTCAGTCGATTCATGGCAACCCGTCCCCCATAAAGGCAAAGGACTGATCTGCCAGGGGACCACCGTCGACATACTTCCTCCTAACAACTTGCATAACCTAAGCGAGACGACAACCGAGCCCCACCATAACTCCGAGAACAAGGCAATCCTGCCCCCCTGGACGGTGAGATCAGAGTCATTGTCGACGGGCTCGTATGCAGTAAACCATCTCGATCGGCATAGAGAGTCGAGCTCAGAAAAATCCGACAAGGCTCTGACAAGGAAGTAACAACATTGGATTGCTCTTACAAACAGTCTAAGCAATGGCCTAAACCCACCATCTTTACGGAGACAGATTGTGCATGTATTCGCTACCCCCATGACGACCCCCTCGTCATCTCCGCTTTTTTATCAAACTATAAAGTCAAACGGGTCTTTGTCGACAACGACAGCTCTTCAGACATCATCTTCTTGGACGCCTATCGCCAACTCAAGGTAGGAGAAGAAAAGTTATCCCCTCTCCAAACCCCATTGGTTGGCTTCATCAGGGATTGGGTGACCTCTATAGGCTCCATCGATCTCCCCATTACCATTAGAGAATATCCACAGCAGACTTTCAAACTACTCACTTTCCTTGTCATTGATTGCCCTTCTGCTTATAACATCATTCTCAGTCGCACGACTCTCAATGCCTTCTAAGTTATCACCTCCACCTATTATTTGGCCATGAAATTCCCAACCGACCTTAGGGTCGACACAGTGAGAGGTGAGTAGATGATGGCTAGAGAGTGCTACGTTTTCTCGTTAAAAGAGGTCAAAATGAGAGAGGCTATGATCATCGAAGGCCTTGATGTCAGAGACGAGGGAGAGTTAGTCAGGGGGAACCAGTGGAGGAACTTGTCGAAGTGTCTATCGATCATACCGATTTAGCCAAAATAGTTAAGATTGGCAGTCAATTGTCCTCTCAGGCAAAGGCTGACCTCACAGCTCTTTTAGCCGAGCACAATGATGTCTTTGCTTGGACCCACTCAGACATGCCAAGTATCGATTCCTCTTTTATTACTCATCATCCTAGTATCGAGCCCCACTTCCGACCTTTCCGCCAGAGGCAGCGTATTTTCTATCCAGAACGCAATGCCCTCATCACCACTGAGGTCGACAAACTATTGAAGGCATAGTTCATCAAAACGTAGACTATCCCAGATGGTTATCTAACGTGGTCTTGGTCTGCAAAAATAATGGCAAATGGTGACTCTGCGTTGACTATTCTGACCTCAATCGGGCTTGCCCCAAAGATAGCTACCCCCTTTCCCGAATACATTTATTGGTCGACGCAACTGCAGGACATTAGATGCTTAGCTTCATGGATGCCTTCTCAGGCTATAATCAGATCCGAATGCACCCAGCCGACCTGGAGCATACCTCTTTTATCACCAATAGAGGGACTTATCACTATTGTGTTATGCCATTTGGTTTGAAGAATGCTAGAGCAACTTACCAATGCTTGGTTAATGTCGTCTTCCAACACCAAATAGGTTGGAATATGGAAGTCTACATCGATGACATGTTAGTCAAGAGTAAACTCTCATCCGATCACTTGGCAGACCTGCGAGAGACCTTCCAAACCTTACATAAATATCAGATGAAGCTGAATCCAGAGAAGTGCGTCTTTGGCGTGGGGTCTGGGAAGTTCTTGGGATTCATGATTAGCCAACGAGGCATTGAGGCTAACCTCGAAAAGATCAAGGCCCTGATAGAAATGCGGTCTCCTAGAACAGTCAAGGAGGTTCAACGGCTTACAAGTAGAGTTGCCACCCTCAATCGCTTTATTTCCCGAGCAACTAAGAAGTGTCTTCCATTCTTGAAAGTCCTTCGACAAATGTTCGAATAGAACACCAAATCTGAAGAGGCCTTCCAACAACTAAAGCAGTACCCTCCCATCTTCTCTCAAGCACTGCCAGGCAAAACCCTCTTCCTCTACTTAGCTGTGTCAAACACTGCGGTCAGTGCTGCCTTTATCAAGGAGGACGACTCAGTACAACGTCCAGTTTACTACATTAGCCACACTCTCAGTGGAGCCGAACAGAACTACCCTCTGTTAAAAAAAATGGCCCTCGCCCTGGTCATAGCCTCCAGACGCCTCTGACCCTATTTTCAAGCCCACTCTATCGTGATTCTCACCGACCAACCTCTGAAAAAGGTCATGCAACAACCAAAATCGTTAGGAAGACTTATGCAATGGTCTATTGAGCTCAGTTAGTATGAAATCTCTTACCGACTCCGAGTAGTGATCAAAGGCCAGGCTGTCGTCGATTTTATCTTGGAGTTCACCAATCTCACTCCGAACGCACCAACTCCACCACCACACATCACCACTGATGCAGAAGACCCGCATTCCTGGATCTTTAGTGTTAATGGCTCATCTTGCAAAGAGGGTAGTGGAGCCGGTCTAATCCTCACCACCCCAGAGGGTGAGCACTTCAAGTGTG